CCCCAAAACCCCAAAACCCCAAAACCCCAAAACCCCAAAACCCCAAAACCCCGAAGGATCAGACTCAGGTTGAATTACCTTCTTTCAATATAAATGTGAGTTTTCCATTTCGCCAGAACCTCCTCTAATTTCTTGTTCTTTGAATGGTGATCTCTGAAGCTTCTTAGGTTCTTCCTGATTGAAGGAGACTCAACGAGGGCGGACAACCAGTGGTGGTTGTCTTTCATTTTGCCTGGTAGGATCACAGTGATCTTGAACTCAACAGAAGGGTCGATTCTAAAATCAGAGGGACTTCCAACCATGTTGCCTCCAAACATCCAGAATTCATTGACGTGATGGAATGCATGGAAGATCTTCTATATCCACCAAAGTTAGCTTGAGCATGCCCAGTTACTCTATTGACTACTTACGTTAAGATCCTTGACTTGTAGGCGAGGAACTATACATATAATATGAGGAGAAGCAAAAAGGAATATTCATTGCGTAATGCACATCAGGCACTGGAATACCCTCGTGATGATATAAATATCAATTGAAAAGTTGCTTAGCTAAGCTTCAGGTAAGTTAAGAACTAGCCTTTAGTCTTCAACTACTTATGTCTTTTAGACTTGATGTGAAGAAACCATTAGCATGAGAGATGTACTCTATCAATGAATTAAGCTATATCCTCTTTATCAGCTAAGGGACTCAACCTGGCATGACAATCATAAACACATCAATAATATCTAATTAAGTGAAAAATATATCAGCGTAACAGAGAAGGATCTAAAGTTAATCAGATTTAGAGAGCAAAGAAGGATTTGAGGAAGAACTATGCATTGTAATGAGGACTCTAGAAGCATATATAAATCTGATTGAACTTTTGTATCACGAATGATTAAAACACTTATTGACCAAAGTTCAAGGAGGATTGCAGTCATACTATCAATGTTGAAAACGGTTGTGATAAACCTTGCCACTCTGCAGATGTTGATAATGCCTCTCCTGGGAATGCAGTTCTTCCTATAAGAAATGTAAGAGCTCAACAAGAAGATTAATAGCTAAGTTCTTTTCTTACGTGTACAATTCTGGCGAATCTCTGAATTTAAAACGTTCTGAATTCCAGATCTCTAACTCATGGAAACACTTCTTCTCCATGTACTCCAGATGAGAGTCTGGGTAGAAACTTCTATCTCTTGCAAACCCGATCATGCTATATCCTCAGATGAGATGCTTACTTGAATTGGGCCCTCAACTTGTCACATCCAAGGTTGCGGATCTCCTTCTTACTCCTCATGCCTAAAGTCACTCTTTACCTTACCGCATTGGCCTTCGTAGAGCTTCTTCATGGAGTAGCCCAGAGGTCTGCTCAGAACTCCTCTGTAGCTAATGTAAAATAATTTTTCTTGCTTGTGGACTTCAAGCTCGATTGTACGTAAAGATTCCATTAATATTAAACTCTTTAATTTCAGTCCTTTATAAAATGGAGGGGTTTTGGGGTTTTGGGGTTTTGGGGTTTTGGGG